GTTGTTTAGCCTGGAGAAAAGGAGGCTGAGGGGAGACCTGATCGCTCTCTACAACTACCTGAAATGAGGTTGTAGTGAGGTAGGGGTTGGTCTCTTCTTCCAAGTAACAAGCAATAGGACGAGAGGAAATGGCCTCAAGTTGCACCAGGGGAGGTTTAGATTGGATATTAGGAAAAATTTCTTTACAGTAGGAGTTGTCAGGCACTGGAATGGGCTGCCCAGGGAAGTGGTCGAGTCCCCATCCTTGGAGGTAGTTAAAAGACGGGTAGACGAGGTGCTTAGGGACATTGTTTAATGGTGGACGGGTATGGTGATCTTAAAGGTCTTTTCCAACCAAATGATTATATAATTCTGGGATCCCTGATTTTAAAGACTTTTTCTTATCCCCCTACAGCTGGGGGAAATCTGCTGATACTTTGGTTACAAAGCTGTCTTTAGCCTAGAGTTTTACTTTTTGGCATGATTTTCCTTGTATAGTGAGATAAAATAAGGAAAACTCCTATTTTTTTCTTCGTATTTCCCCAGATGTTCACAAGCTTTATCTGTTCCTTTCTTCTCCTCAGTGTAGAATTACCTGTCAATAGCAGGGCATTTTGAATGGGCATTGATCCTTTCTTTCCTTGGCTGCAGTAACAGAGCAGCAGGGGTGAAAGAGGTTGACTCTGCTTCAGTTATTTTTTTCCACTCAGAAAGAAGACAGCTCTCATTAACGTAAGTTCCTTTTTCACCTAACTGTACTATTTTCCAGGGAGGTCAGTTGCCTGCATTTCCATTGTAAATGGAGTTCCAATCAGTATGTCACCGGGCTAGAGATAAACCACAGGGTAAACCATGACCCCAGTCAAAACAGTGCCATGCAACACAAAGCAGGAAGCAGCAAGTGCAGCATTCGTTGCACAAAGGTATGCTCTTGCTTTAGCAGAGAAGCAGCACACACAATATTATCAGATTATCTTTTCTTGAGATAAAAATGCTCTCTCTAGGGAGGTCACCTATACCACTGAGAAATGTGCAGACATTTGGTGTTATGTAAATGTTATTTTTTTCTATTGTTTCATTAATAACAGGAGTCCACTTTGAAAAAGACAGCATAGTTACCCTCAAATAATTGTATTGAAAGCTACTGTCTAGCAAGGGTTAGAAATTCAGTAGACATGCATCATTTAAAACACTCACTAATACGATTACAGGAAAAAAGCTCCACCGTTTGTTTTTTTTACAATCTTGTGTAAGACAGCGTATGTTATGAAATTAAATTGAACACTGTTTGGCCTTCCTCTTCTAGTCTAATCCACACTAAATTGGTCAAAAACAATTATAAACACCTCTTTTTTGACAGTTCATGATTGGATAGATGATTGGTTTTTGTATAATTTGAGGAGGTCATTTACTAACAAGCCAGACCTTTTAAAAAGGCTAGATACAAGCAGCTAACCTAAAATTGTCAGCTCTTTTTTTTTTTTTTTTTTCTTTGCTAGGCAGTGGAGAAGAGTCTGGCTCAGGCAATTTAATTTGCCTTTCATAGTCTATCACAAGGCTCATGATTATTTCTTACAACAAAATATTCAGTGTAACAAATTAGTAGATTCTGCTATGTTGGTTGGGCTGCATTCCAATTCCTGCCTTAGTGATGCTGGCTGCCTGCAGCACTGCCAGCACAATAATTATTGCTGAGTTTTCTAGACCTCATCAAACCAGCAAGGTGATCACCCCCTTGGAACTGCTGGGGATATGAGGTATGGAAAAGTGGAAAGAAATTGCTGCAACTCTGTGCTATCATGCCAGCAAGTGCCACTTGAATGATGGCAGCTATTGGCAGGGGTAGGGCTCTGCTGGAAGAGAGCTTGCAGCAGTTCTAGATTATAGCTTTTGCTGCTTCCAGTGAGAATTGCTGTGGGCACTGAATTAAAGAAAGCAAATTGGAAGGTGGGGAAAACAAAGATCTGAAGGCAAATGTAGAAGGGGAGATGATGATTTGTGACAATGAAGCAATTCTTGTTTTACTGTATGTGATTGGCTCTTTCATGACGCAAAAAAACTTCCACAAACACCATAACGTCAGCTATGCGGGTTTGTTAGGCAGCCTTCTCCAGCTTTCATCACATAATTAAGGTACCAACTGGTGTCAGCAAACTGATGTCATTCTTGTTCCAGTACAAAAAATACTATTTATGAGTATTTTACCATATGAAGTACAGAAGCAAAGTTTAAAAAAAAAAAAAATTAGATATTTAACAATATTGTCACCATCAAAATACCTGCTGAGAGACTACTACGGTGCTTGAGTGCATATTTTGGATAAACAAATGGGTTTAATCCAGGACACTCAACACTAACCTTTACACAAAATAAGCACCCAATAAAAGTCAGAGTTTAGCCTCAAATTAGTTGATGGAAATTATCTCCCTGTACATCAGAGAAACATTATTGACTGCAGTAAACATTTATGCAAAAAGAAGGCCCATTATATCCCTCTTTAGTCTCTCTGTTTCCTTTCCTGTTTCTCCCTTTTGTTTGAACATTTTAATTTTGATCCAACTACATTTTAGTTTCTGGACACTACTCACATGGAAGTGTAATATTGTAACTCCATTCTCATCACTGGTATACAGTGGCACCTGTTAGCAGTTCACTATGGAATATAGCTGCTCATCATGTGTATTTAAGCCTTTTGTCAGACCTTTCCCTCTATCCTTATCCTTGTTTTTAACTTTCCAATCTTAACATACTGGGAGTAGAGCTTTGTGATTCACTATCTCTTAAGCCGGAACTTTATTACAGTACTCCATTTTTCACTATTTGTTACCTTGTAGGTTGATAAGGCTTGGCTGCAAACAGATAATATTTCACAAACAATGCACTTAAGAGGAGATATTTGTATGCATACCTGAATTAGCATTCTAAAAAGAGGTCAACATACAGTATTAATACGTTAGTCATTACAGACAAACTTTTTATTCATTACATTTGTCATCAGGGCTAGGGAAAAGGAATGACCAGTCTGGCTTTTAATTTTATTATAGCTTCAATGTTGGAAGAGGCAAGAGAATGAGACTGTAATCTCTGCTGCTTACTTATATTACAGTGACGTTGCTTATCAGGGGCAGGTGATGGGGTTTATATTTCTTGAAAACAGGAAGTTTAGGGTCCTACTAATTTAAACCTATTGTTTCATAAAAGTAGAAAAAACTTTGTGTTTTCCTAGAAATGTTTAATGGGATCTTTTTGAGGGCACTCACTCTAGCTGTCCACAGAGCTTGGAATGGGGACCCCTACCGCAGTTGCCTAATGACCTAAGGTTTTCCTGTAATGACTATGATGGCACAGAGTGTTTCGTATGCTGCCTTTATTTTTCTTATAGTCATGTCCCAAAGCAGTTTGAATACAAATGGTGAAAACTGAAAATTGCTGCAAATTGGCTGGCTCTAATCAATGATTCTTGAGTTGAATCAACAGTCTTGAACTAGCCTATGAGAATACTCCATTTTTCCTTACAAAAAAAAAGAGCTTCACCCTTAGGATAGAAATTTCTGTTTATGGAACTGGGTTGTAGACAACAATCGGTGTTCCCCAGCTGTGGTTGAATTTAAAGGTGCTAGACCTGGGTCACTGAGCATCTAGAAGATGAGATCTGAGCCCTTGTGCTGGTCCCTGGACTCTGGGGCACAGAGCAGATGACAAGTCTGACTTCAGGTAGCCGTGTCACAGAGAAGGTGCATTGCTGCCTTCAGCACTACTTGGAGTTCCCTAAGGACTGATGGCTTTATACACAGGTAATAGGCAAAGTTCAGCAGCTGCAAACTTTTCTGACTGTAACGGATGTCAATTATCTCTCTTCCATAAACTGGTCTGCATAGCTTAAATGTCAGTTTTCAGGTTATGCCAAGGCATGAAAATGTAGCAGGTGCTGCACATATTCTATATAAGAATAATGAATATTCCAGCAGGAGCAGAGAGATTTCTGTAAGGTCAGACAAAGTCAGCATCCTGCTTATCCAGGTTTAGTTGCGGAATGAGAGACTACAAAGCAAGGAGCCCACTGTGCCTTACAGTTCTGACATGGATTAGTTGTCATTCTCTCTCTTGCTTTGTGGACACTCTTATAGGTCTGAATACAAGTAAAACCATCATAGTGACTCTGGATTGGCTATTTTCACTTGATATAGTCCTCTGATACCAAATGCCCAGTTCTTATTATCACAAGACTCAGTCCTGATGAGACAGTGAGTGATCCCTGCCAATACCACTCAAAATTATTTGTTTAATGAGGTTTCTTACAGTTGTGTCTTTCCCACTGAGGAGTAGAGATTAATTTTTTGTTGCTGTTAGAAGGGGTTTTTTTCAGGTATTAGGCCACATTCTATTTTTGGCTGAAGAAACATATGCAGAAGATAGTTTCATTACCTCAAGTTAAGATACCCTAGGTACATCCTCTTGTCAACTCCAAAACAGCATTATCACTTCTTTGTTGAGTTTACAAATGTAATATACTGTAATTTGAATCACCATGTAGAAACTAGTTGTATCTATGTGAATGAAAGCGAGACCTGTTTTATTGTCAAATATTTCCATAAAGACAGAAACAATTTGAAAGTATTAGATAAGGCTAATCTTTCTGAATGCTCTCTGAATGCTTGATTTTGCCTTCAGGCTTTACTGAAGGCAGATTCAGATTGTGCAATTATAAAATATTATTAAAGCTTAATTCAAAAGTATTTTTATGCTCAGAACTGGCTCAAGGCTTCTCAGTAGTGTCAGTAAAATTTAATTTTGCCACTTTAAAGATGAGGTGTGGTAGCCAGGGCTTCGATGCTCCTGCTAGCAGAAGGATGCAAGGGGAAGAGAGAGAGGAATAGGACTAGGGCAGAGAGGTGGAAGGGAACCCCTGAGAGAGCAGTCTAGATCTTCCCATTGTCAGTGGCAGAATGGGAGAAGATGGGGTTTGAGCATGTTGGCAGTGTTTAAACCTATTCCCAACAGTGGTCACTAAACCATCTACCATGACCCCTCCTTTGGCCACAGTCACAGCTAGCCTGTCTCTGCAGACCTTTGACATAAGCAGAATAGTCATCAAACCCAAGATCATTCTAATGACCTACCTGACTTTGCACCAGGTAATCCTATGAAGCTAACAATGCAGAGCACTGCCTCTAGTAAACAGTAGGTTCCCAGTACTTTCAAGTGGTTTTGTTAATCCTTGATCCTATCTTAAGCTTGCACCAGTAAACTGGCACAGCTTTTGTAGCAGGGTCCTGTAGCTGAGGCAGGCACCACGTTGCTATGCCGCTTCCAGGCCTGAGCTGGCATGCAGAGAGATGTCAGCCACATCTGCCCTGCACTCTCTAGTTTCAGAAGCACTGTGGGAAGAGTCAGCCCTCCCATCTCTGCCCTTACTTCTAAAAGTAAATATCGCATCTAAACAAGTGTATTAAGCTGGTTTTATATATTCATGTTTGTTAATAAAGATTTTATTTTTTTTTAATGAATGCAGCTCATCTGATTTTGAATGCTCCTACAAAATACATGGGCAGATTTTACTAAATTACTCTCCTAGCTGGGGCCTGACAGCTGACTATTTTGTGTTATAACATTACCTTGGTTTTAAGGTAAAAATGAACTCATAACTTGACCCAATTTATCAGTTTTAGTCTGAACCACTTTTGTGCACGTTCAATCCCTGCCTTCCTGGTTTTGGTGGAGTGCAAATATGTCTTATTAAAATAATGCACAAATTGTTATTACAAATGTTCATTAACAGGAAATAAAATACTTTATAGGGATTAAAACTCTTAGCACCTCAAAGTTATTATTACTTAAGTTCATCCTGTAGCTGAAACACTAATTTCATGGTATTTAGCCTCATGGCTAGAACAGTTTACATGAGATTAATTTTTCAAATTGTCTTTCAGGTATGCAAAAGGATGTGGTTCTGATACATATCTGAATCTTGTTACTGTTGGCCAGCCAGAAATAAGAAACTCCATAGTCTTAAAACATATACACACTCACACACACACACACAAAAAAATTTGCTCTAACGTGATGTTAAGATTTGTGATCTAAACTGCAATGTGAACTTAAGACCCCAATCCAATTAAGGTAGTCATTGGGATCAAGTGTGCAGTTGTATATAAAACTTTGCTCTTGAGACAAATGAATGAACTGAAGTACTCCTTCAGTTTCAAGGTATTGAAATCTCCTATACCTCACAAATTTGGAATTTTTATTGTTGTTTTAAGCTATTAGCAAAGGTGAATTTGGTCTTGTACAGTAAAAAAAATCGATAGATATCTGAGACACAGTTATCTCTACAGCTCTGTGTAGCTATATTAGATGTTACCATAAATTCAGGTATTTGCTCCAGGTTTCAAAATTTTCCATGTCTTAAGTACAACACCTATTTAATTAATTTTTTATCATAATTCTAGCAATATGGTTCCTTTAAGGTTATTCTAAAAATAATTTTGGGAAGCAGTATTAAAAATACCAAATCATTCAGTGTAAAATTAGGGACCTCCCCCATTTTTTTCCATCATTTATCTCTCACAGATATTGGTGTTTGATAACTTGTGTGGAGAAAGTATTTTGCAAGAATAGAGCTTGTTGATCAAGCATTTTGCCAGCAATTTCCTCTTTTTTTTCTGCCTGCTCACACAGGAGGTGATTCTTTCAGGGAAGTGCTTGGAAGACAGGGTTTTGATTATGTTATTGTTTGAGTCACTGGGTCTCCATGTATGTATGGTGGAGTTTAAATGTTTATAAATCGTGAATATAATACCCTGAAGATATGTTCAGTGCACAGTAAATCATTTTTATTTAAACCAACTGTCAGCTTCACCAGCTCAGCTTTAGCTAGAATCTTTCTTATTTTCATGTCATGAGTAATAATAACTGAAGTGCTATTTAGATAACAGTTCTGCTTCTCATTACTATGTAACAGAAAACCTACTGTAGAAAGCTTGTATTTACCAGGTTTTTATTATTACTGTGTTCAGTTAGTGAAGGCAGCAGCTGAGACTTAGAATACACTCTGTACCCATGGAGAGCCCTGTTGTCCTCAGTAGGTCACAGCAGAAATCCACTTGTACACAATATGATGCAGGGATGTGGTCCTACACAGGGTTTTTAAAAACTAGGATTACCTTCTTATCAAGTGCATTGAAGGCCCATTCCTTCTCTCAGCAGCATCAAACGGATTAAGGACAGGGGCTTAATATCATATATGTGATTTCTTTAAGGAAACAATGGACAAGTGGAAGCTAATTACTTCTTGATTTTAACTGGAATTACCTGTGCTGTGATGATTTTTATTAAATGTGCTGAGAACACCGTTGTGTCCACAGCTCTTCACAGGACTTCATTTTAGTTTTGCTTTTCCTCTTACAAGAAGAAATTAAAATCTTTTTTTCTTTCCCTGCTGTCTTACAGTAAAGGACTTGACTCACAGGCACATGCACGCTTGCAGATGTGTAGTTGTATTTTATATGGATTTGACTTTCAAAATATTATTCTGTTTTTTTCTGGTGGGCAACTGTGGAGAATTCGTTGAGTAACTGGGCCCTGTATCTCAGGATACTATCTGAAGTTTTGATGAAAAATTAAATGAACCTCTCTAAGGAATGGCACAAATATATGCATTCTTCCTCAACATGGTGGAAGTGCTGGAGGAGGGTTAGCTGGGGATGTTGTATGTGATGCAGGTAGGCTTTAGCATTAAAATTCTTTCAAAAGCCATAGGCCCCAACTACTTGTGCTTTTGGGCTTTTTTTAACTTCCTATGCCATAGAACCAAGAACTGAAAGTCGTTAAAAAACTATATGTCTAACTTAAAAGCTCAAGCAAATTATTAGAAGCTGTGGGCATCTGATGCAACACAATTGAGCTGAGGGTACTTAATGAGTTACTGATTAGAGCTTAATTTCTGTAGCTCATTCTTAGCCTGCACCAGTCATGATATAAACCACAGTTGATTAATCCTCCGTCACTGTGATTTAAGCTAATACCCTCTTCTTCCTTTGGAGTGAGCTGAGAGCCTGTTACCGTGACTCAGCTGGTGAGTCCATCAGTTGACTGTGACCCAGTCCCAGGCCCCAGCATACTGGGTGCCTCTGTGCTGTGTGTGCCATCCCAAGGGCCCTGCCTGGTGGGGGCTGTACATACCTGCTTGTATGTGTGTGCCTGTGTGCACTTTAGCTTATATCAGTACAAAGTTTTGATTCTGTATCATTGTGAAGTAGCTGTGGTTGAGTCTCTTCTCAAGGAGCTTTCTGAGGAAAGGCACTTTGTCATTTTCCATTTTGGAGTTTGTGTTATAAATCATCTTTTGACTGGTTTCTCCTTTGTGGTTCCTGTCTGAAATTTTAGTCCAATCATATACTTTAAGAATCATCTCAAAATGGTTTTCTTTATCCTCTGGAAATTCAATTCTTAGATCCCTCAAGGTCAGTAACACTGTTAACCTATTAACAACCAGCCTCTGACAAGAATCTGGAAATACTTTGAGCTATTCCAACTTGACAGTATACAGGCTGATTTTATTTTGTGTTTATTTTTTCCAGACTTCTGCTAACTGTTTTAAAAATAATGCATTAGTAAAAATGGTTTACTGTAATTACACTTAATTCTTCTATAATTTTATTAGTGATTACATAAGATAAACTCTCTATGATATTTTATTTATTTGGAAGCCTGAGAAGATGATGTGGTGGATGTTTATTTTCTAACATTAGGAACTGATTCTTCATAACCCTATATTTTGGGTTCACTGCATTATTAAAATGGTCTGAATTAAACATATTTTTGTTTTCTTACAATAGTGTACTTTTTCATCTGAAGCATTCATTTTTCCTCTTTCCTGTTCTCATTTCAAACTCTTGTTTCCAGAAGAAGAAGAAAAAAAATGGACAATTCTCTATCTATTCCTAGACTTTGAAGATTAATATTTCTTTGTCAGAACTTCTCTTTTCTCTCTGTAATGTCCTTGAAACTTCATTAGACATTTGAAGCTGGTGGATATGATTTGGAGAAAGAAGTGCAGTTGTTTAACCAAAAATTTTAAGTTTTTAAACGAAGGGAAAAAAAATCTTTCAAAATCAAGTCTATATTTTCTCTTGCTATCTAAGGAAATCCCTTATGATTCTGGTATCTGTGGAAGAGGAGGAAGCTACATAATACTGTTTTTAATAGATTTTGTCAGTATTTTGTCCTACTTTTCACTTTTCCCCTTTTAGAAACACAGACCCAATGAGATTTTTTTTTTTTGAGTAACTTCATGTAATAACTCCATATTGTTTTTTCTGTTTGTTTGTGTGTTGTTTTTCTTTCTCTCCACCTTCATCTCTTCAGGAAGTGGGAATAAAGATCTAGTTCTGTCCTATATTTTCCATTTGATAAATCTGTGATGCACCTTGCTGATCTTCTGAGTTTGATCTTCTAAGGAATAACAGCTGCATTTCTGCAGCATTTTATCTCTGCACAGCCTACCAGAATGCTGCCATTGTTTTAACTCAGGACAATTATCTTGGGTATGGGAAGGGGAAATGCCCTAATAGATATTTTCTTCTCTGTTCTAATCTATTTATGTTTTTGCTTTTTAACCATAGGTTTCTGTGCTCGAGAGGCAGATATTTGACTTCCTTGGTTATCAGTGGGCACCCATCCTGGCAAATTTTATACACATTATTATAGTCATACTTGGCTTATTTGGAACCATCCAGTATAGACCTCGTTACATAACAGGAGTGAGTATTTAATTTTATTTACTTATTTTAATGTGCATGTAAAAAAAAAAAAAAGTGTTCAAAACCCTGTTGCTCATAAATCACATAGAAATATTATCTTGGTTTAACTTTCTACTGTAATATTTTACATTTACTTGTTATGCTTTTGAGACACCTGCAATAATTAAGTGGTAACAACCTACAAAAGTTGAACATCAGTGTGATCACAAACTATGTGACAATATGAACTTTCAAGGGGTGAAGTCTGTTTAAAGAGTTACAGCATCCTCAGAATTACAGGGATTTAGAGCTAGAATAAATGCTAGCCGTAACTTCCGTAGATATACTGGACCTCCCCAACAGTTCCATGATTGATTATAGTTACTCATTATTGTTATTAATCATTGTTGCTGCAGTGCTTATCTGTTCTGTATATCCTTTCTAGAAATTATAGTCCAAGTTGAAAATGAAGTATGAGAATACGGTAAGAAAGGCAGGTTTGATGGTTACAGACTGAGGGCTGCAAAATAAAAGTAAGGATTTGGACCTCTATATTTTTAATCCATTTCTTTTCCTTATTCGGATACCCCTCATACACAAACTCAGTATTGCTATACTCTCTGGTACAATACAGTATTAATGGAATCCTTATTTTACACTCTGTTTGGGTTTTTCCCCATTTGTAGGTCTATAAAGACAGAATAACAAATCTGAAAGCCATCTTTCAGAACACCATTTGTTAGAAATAGATTTGCATAACAATAGTTCTATGAAAATTGACTGCTAGTTCAGTTAAAGCTTTTCAGAGACAGACAACAGCCAAAAAGGTTTGCCCATACACAGTCATATTTTCATGTCAAATGAAAATAACTCCACTTAATCTGTACCCACTTCTGCAAAGTCTGTTTCTTCTTACCCTTTTCCCTCATATACCAGAAATCACTCAGGAGATAAAAAGGTTTTGCTTGTAACCCTGCGCTGCCATCCATATTGCAATAGTGTGATGCTAACAGTAATACACTAACATTTATGTCTGTGTTTCTATCTCTGTGGTTTCCTATATACAGAAAATGTGTGTCCACATGTATAATGTCTTTATGCAAGCACACAATTTAATATATTCCAAAACATGTATTATCAACATTGAAAAATATATTGTAAGCTTTCAATATTTAGTCACAACTCTGGGAGTCGTGTGAATGTGAACTGGAGTTTTCTTGTGCTTTGACTATTACAAAAGGCTTGAAAATAAAAAACCAAAATCCAAGCAAGTGTCAGTTAAATAAAAAGAATAAAAAGTTCCATCCCAAGACTATTCCAAGGCATAAAATTGAGCATAAACATAAAAAGCTTAGCTGAGCTAAACAAAAAAGCTAGATTTAAATGGCCTTTTCAACAAGAATACAGAAAATTACCTGCTACAATGATGAGTGCATTGTGAATTGGGAGGAATACCAGCCTTGTAAGTACGTACCATTCACATGAGCTTCTAGGTGATACTCTTTGTGCCACACCATCCTACTAATTTTTGCATATATCTTTTGTCAGAGGTCCCCTTCACCCTCACTGTGTAGCTCATCTGGCTTTGTGAGTTTGCCTTCCTGGATCCTCTCATTGAACTGGATAGAAACAATCTAAGATCAAATTGTTTGTCTTGCTCAGATTTTGTAAGAGAGACCTGAATCTGCTGTCTATCACAGACTGCTTAGGTAAGGAAACAATGATGAAACTTTCATCCTCCATTTAGTTTGATCAACAGAGGAGTGCTGTGTTTTTTTCATTTCTACTGCTGCTCTCTTTGGAGAGACTCTAAAGTCAGGATGAGGGAAATGGTACTGGTCACTGGTGGGAGACATAAGGGAACTTCATCCTTTTCTTCAGTTCTGCTGGGCCAAGAGTAGGCACCTTGTTGAAGCTGGGCAAAACTCAGTGGTGTCATCTGACATCAGGAGTAAAGTTGTGAGTTCGAAGGCAAGAAGAAAAACAACAGCCTGTAAGCCTGCAAAGGTGTAGCTACGAGGTTTTCAGGTGAGTGGATGTAAATACTCAGACTTAATAGATTTTGCAAGGGTCAATCTATCTTGAGTGAACTCTATAGGACCCTTAATCCACAGTCACGTTAGGTACCACAAGTATATCTTGCTTCAACAAGACTACAATAAATTTCCTTTTTACTGTGCATGCTTCATAAAGGATATCAGAAAAAAAGTTTTCCAGAGGTTGTGAATCATAGGTTAAAGAGAGCAGGGAGGTTTTAAGGTGAGATTTAAAGAAATGATTCAGTGGCTTAGGGAGAAGAGGAAATAAGTTTTAGACATATAGGGCACCACAAATGAAAGTGTGTCCTTGAACTCACAAGAGTCACAGGAAAGTTTAGAAGTGGATGCAGGAAATAGGTGACTGTGTGGTTTCAGGCCTTGGAAAATAGTTCAAATTAAATAGGATGCAGGAATTATGGTGGACAAAGAGGACAGGAAATTGAAGTTTAATATCATCAGAGGGGTTAATCCTAATATATGTTCAGCAAGAACACAATATTTTTTGCTTTTAAACCTGAACCATTAACCAATAAATGAGCAATTGATGCAGGAGGTGAAACATCTGTTCTGAGGGTGGGAATGAGTGTCTTTTCAAAGATGTCTTTTCAAAAGATAATTATTAAGTAAGCTATTTTTTTGTGAAAACAATAATGATCAAAGGAATTTCAGTAGGAACAAAGGTTAGCCAGTATAATGACTGAGATGTAAATGTGGGTATTTTAGCAGTGCTATCATAGGATGCATCAATGCAAATGCCTGAGAGGTAATACCAATGCAAATTATTAAGGGTTCTGGAAAGAAACAATGTTCTTCACCTGGGTAGAGCTCTGCCTGGAGGCTCAGTTTCTCCCTATTCCTTCTATAGAGGGCTTCCAGCTGTGCTGATATGCTCAGCACATTTGTCATGCTACTATGGATTATTAGTTACCTGACTAATCTAGTGACTTTCTGCAATGGAGTAACTGCATCAATAGACAAGGGAAGAGCTATGGATGTAATCTAGACTTCCATAAGGCCTTTGATATGGTCTCCCACAATATTCTGGCTGCTAAATTGGAGAGGTATGGGTATGACAGATGGACTGTTAGAAAGAAGTGGCTGAATGGCCACATCCAAATAGTTATACTCAGTGGCTCAGTGGAATGATCCAAGTGGAAACCAGTAGCGAGTGGTGTCGGCTCAAGGGCCCATACTGGGACCAATAGTATTTAATATCTTCAATGATATAGCAGTGAGATCAAGTGCACCCTCAGCAAGTTTGCAGACACCACCAAGCTGAGCCCTCAACACAGGAAAGACATAGACCTGTTGGAGGAGGTCCAGAGGAGGGCCACAAAAATTATCTGAGGGCTGGAGTACCTCTCCTGTGAGGAAGGGCTGGGAGAGTTGGAATTACTCACCCTGGAGAAGAGAAGGCTCCGGGGAGACCTTATTACGGCCTTTCAGTACTTAAAGGGGACTTATAAGAAAGATGGAGAAAGACTTTTTGCCAGGGCCTGTAGTGATAGGACAAGGGGCAATAAGTTTAAACTGAAAGAGGGTAGGTTTAGATTGAACATAAGGAAGAAAATTTTTACAGTTAGGATGGTGAAACACTGGAACAGGTTGCCCGGAGAAGTTGTGGATGCCCCATCCTTGGAAGTATTCAAGGCCAGGTTGCATGGGGCTTTGAGAAACCTGATCTAGTGAAAGGTATTCCTGCCCATTTGCAGGGGGTGGGGGGGGTGGGGGGGGTGTATTAGATGGTCTTTAAAGGTCCCTTCTGACCAGACCATTCTGTTATTCTATGATTCTATGAAAGAAAACGAGTACAAAACTGCCACTGAATGAACTGATGTTGTCTCGTTCCTGCATGATGGAAAACCTTGGCAATCTCATTCTACTGTTCTCTTAACAATTCTAGAAAGCCTTCTCAGAATATATAAGGACAAAAAGTCCCATTTGTACTGAATGCCATTCTCTTCTCCAAACAGAGGAATATACCTGACAGGTGAAGCCCACCTTACGATTCTCCAGTGCTACAGTGGTAGAACTGTAAAATTAAGTACTTTCTTTCTTCACTGCCATGGGAACAAGATAAAGGAATGTCTAGTGGAGCTTGACAGTGACATAAAGAGATAGAGAAAAACTTAGAAGTGAATTATGAAATAGAAGAATTTGAGGACAATCATGTCTGGGAAGTAGATTCCACTGTAATTTCCACTGCTTATTTGTACCTTCTAGACCTGTTATATTTAATTCCTCTAGAATTACTTCCAACAAAGAGAGAATTTTTGTACAATTCTGTAGGGTTATTGAGCAGTGTTATAGACAAAGCAAGAGTGATAAGAAAGTGAAAAAGCATTTGCGCTGAAGAATAAATTCTCCTGCCTTGAGCATAAAGTGAAGATCCAATACCAATAAGGGAGAAAACTTTTAATCCGGAATGCATAACTTTGTTTCAAACCTGTGATAGTAGGAGATTGTAAAAATTGGTTTCTTGTAATGACCTATTCATTGCACAGTTCAAGTGGACTTTGTGTGTAAAGCAAAATTACACAGTGGACAACGTTACTAACATTTTCCCAGGGGTTAATTTACTCTCTTCTGGTGTTTTCTCCTCTTAGACATATTAGTAACACCCCCTAATAATAGTGAACATAGTAGGGACTCATACAGACCACAATATGCTAGCAGAAGAAAACAAGGATCTCAGTTTGACACAAAGCACATTTGCAACCTTTAAGAGCAAAAAGAATCCTGTACAGGATAATACCTAGTCACATTAAGTCTGGGAGAAAAGGATAGATTATTACTGGTACATTACTTAACACGTAATTGCTGATATATATTAAAAAAGAGAAAGAGGCAATTACCTTATGTCTGAGCTTCCTGCCACATCATCAGTCTGCCAAACCATTAGGCCCCAGAGAGTATAACTGAGTTAATCTATGTCTTTTTAAAGACTACACATTGTCAATAGCTTCAACACCCCTAGTGGGA